ACGGTGCCCGGACAGGCCGTTTGGATAATTTGGAAATTCCCAGAGGTAAGCTCTTCGATTTCTACAAAGTTATATAAAAGATCTCTGAAAGCAAAATGAAAGGTGGATTGGGGCCAGCTTAAAAGACGACGTGGCGTCTGTCTGTGGGAGTGACGGTGATAATGGCGGTGAGCTAAAAGAGGTAGCACCGTGCTTTATTAAACAAGTGAAATTTTAAACTCTGGGTACTGATAAGCGGGGCTTCCATGGATATCTTTCACTAAATCCACACTAAATCATAGCGAAGGCGCCGGATAACGGTAAAAATGTAACTAGAAAATTAACAAAAATCTGAAAGAGAGCGAGTGAAAAGTAACTAGTGCGAAAAGGAAAGTAAATATGCGCCGAAATCAGGGTTGCCATTTCGGTAACTTATTACCAAAATTGGTAGAAAAAATTTGGGGTTGTAAAAACGTATTTTTTTCAATTTGGTTCGCGGTTTATTTTTCGTAGTCATCTAATAAATTTCTTTAAAAAGTGTATACTTTATTGCATTAATTTTCGAATGCATTAATGCACAATTTATACAAATATATATCGACAAAACTCCGTTTTACTGGAATCCTGAGCAGTTTTTGATAACCTAAATATTTTAAATGATTCTTTAAATATAAATTAAAAATGGACAGGCATGTAATTATTCACTAATTGCTCACAAACAAATTAAAAAAATGGGTTTTTATAAATGGCAATTGTTAAACGAAAAAACAAAAGACCGGCGGCAAAAAAAACTTAAACAATCAATGGGAATTTTAGGTTGACGTAAAATTCCATGGGCTATAAAACTACCCAAAAATTTTCAAAAAAAGAGTAAAAAGTTCTTAATATTGTATGTATATAGCTTGAATGCTTGATTTTTATTGGCTTGGTTAAAGCGTAATTAATATTCTTATACAAATAAAAAATAGCAAAGAAAATGTATACTTGAGAAACATTGAGGTTGTTCACACTTGCGTGGTAATCAGGTTATCTGGTTAATTATTTTTGTGTAGTGTATTTTATTGTTGTAAACTGAATTAAAAATATAACCACATAACCTGATAACCAGGCAAGCGTGAACAACCGTGTGATGAATATAAAAAAATTTGCCAAGCATTTTTTGAGTCACTGTATTTGTCGATAATAACTCCATTTCAAGTTTTTTAAATTATGATAAAGTTTTGTTGTTGCCTTTAGATTGATCACTTTCACTTTTGGTTGAAGGAAACCGAGAAGATGACATCAATATGATCAAAAAATACCATATCATTAGTTAAAAAAAAAGTTCCTCAATAAAAAAAATTGTATTCTCATTGAAATAACCAAAAAATAGAGCAATAGCAAAGAACGTAGATAATAAGAAGGGACAACTCGTTATAATTGCAGCGAGTGTGAGTAAGGGGCGTTCTTTTGCCCAAGTACGTCTTTTGATGAAAATAACTCAAAATAGTAAATGGTAGATATTTTCTGGATTTGGTAGATTTTTTTTAAGTGGATGGACAATACTTTTTTGACAGTGGCAACGCTGGCTGAAATGCCGATTCAGCAAAGGAAAAATGGCGCAAAGATGCATGCAAGGTGTATTAAATAAGGTGTGATTGACAATTCTGTGGGGCTATCTTTTAAGGTACTATTGTAAAAAAAAATATAAACAAACGATTCAACATTCATAAATTTTTTTCAATTTGACTTTATAGGATGGTTCTTTTGAAATCAATGTCAAATTCAATAACACTTTGCTGAATGTTAATCTGATAAACGATTAAAATGTTAATCGCGATTAACGATTGAAATTAATTAATCGTAATCATCTGTATGATTAATGATTAAAATTAATTAATCATAATCATCTGTGATTAATGATTAAATTTTTTAATCGATCGTCGGTGGTGATTACGATTAATCAATTTTAATCATCAATCGTTAATCCGATTAAAAAAATCTGATTAAGTAGACTAGTAGGTCCGCATTTTAAATCAAACACCATTTACGGTTATTCTTTTGTGTTTGACGCTTAAAAAAAACTCATAATACTTATATAAACTATTAATAATTATAATTTGTATAACTTAAACTGAGAAGTTTAACACCCTTCGCACATGTGCAGAGAGATATTAAAACCTAGTTTGCAAAACGTATGTTGATAATAGATGACAATCAAAATGCACACCAAATTGCTTAGATTGATGTGGGAAACCGACTTAGCCATACCCGATTAACTGATGTTGTGAGCAAAAGACAATTCCAGCATAAATTAATAAATCACCAGACACACTTAATCAAATTAAGGGTTAAGGATTAAAAATTAATTTTTTTTAATCACTGATATTAACAAAAAAATGGTTCAGTATTGGACCTAACCTTCACAAATATTGCATCAACATTAAATTGGGAAGTGATACCATGTCATCTTGGTGATAATCATCACTACTCAATTTTCATTAATTTTGATGTTACTGAAAAACGTGTATTTTCAGGTCGAAAAAAAATTGATGGCTTCCTTAAATAAAATTGAATTGGAGCCTTCGTCGGAGACGATAACTAAGGCTATCCCACATAAGATAAATAAAGCAACAAACACTCATGGCAATAGAACACCAAAACCATGGTGGCATAGTGATCTTAATACACATTTTAGATTATACAAAGAAGCGAGAAAAAAATGTAATGGGTATGGAAATGGAACAATTGAGAATTTCGAAAGAGCGATTGAAACGAGGCAAATATGGAAAAACGAGGTAAAGAAGGCCAAGCAATATTTCAAGGAAAATGGCAAGCGGTTCAGCAATCAACCTAACAGTAAGGAAGAGGAACATCAAGTAACGCCAACAACCCCTGATGGTCAGAAGACAACACTAACCTCTTCTGCAGCATCTGAAAAATCGAATTAATTTTAACAATACTCAGGATTGCATTCCGAGGATGCACTTTCAGGTAGCTACTACAATTCTCCTTTTTAATCTTGGCAAATCTAAAAAACAAAACGAAAAAATCTGCAGGTGGTCAAGAAAAAATAACTTAATAATTTGGGCATTGTCGATGGATTTCAAACAAAATCTTCTTAATCAAGCCATAAACGTTCCGACCGTTGGGTTAACTCTATTCGTAATCAAGTGGCACGTTCTGCCCACAAACTGTTACAATTTTGCGTGCATTTTCATTGTTCAATCTCATTTTTATATTATAAGCTTTTATTTAACTTGGTCATCCCGCGGAAATCGCGGAAATTTCCAATCGATTTTAAACTGACTTCCCGACAAGTCAGAGACTTGAAATTTTCCAATAGCATAGTTCCAATCACGATGACAATGCAATTTAAAATATAAATGAATTACCCATATGGTCCAGGGGTCTTGATTCAAAGGCGGTCAAAAAATAGTAAGATTTATGGCTAACAGAGCGTAATTTGCCAAAGAACGTAAAACCACTATAAAATTGTTAAAGCTGCCGGCGCGCCGCGGCGGTAGTGTAGCAAAGCTATTTGCAAACAACATTTTGCTTGCATAGTCTTCTGTTCTCTCTCATTGCAAGTTGAATTATTTTAATATCTATTGCAAAACTTTGTACATAAAATAAAATAAAACTTTTTAATATACAACGCTTTTATGAATGGACTAAAAATTAATTTACTTCGTTTTTAAAAAAGGTTGTCGGCGAATTTAGCGTACATGCATAATTGGTTAGGTATGTATATGTATGCATGCAGATATTTAAATGCCGGTTTGCTATTCGCGCGACAAGCTTTTTTAAAAACCAAGTAAATTAGTACAAATTGTTAGTAATTTTCATTAGAGTTTGAATAACTCCTTTCACTAAATGGCTTTTAGTAACTTTAACGAGANGTGCAGTTTTGACAAAATTTTCTTGCTAAAAAATCTTTTGTTACACTACTTTTATTTTATTCCTTTGATTATACATGTTAAATAAAAGCTTGTTTTTAAAAAATATTTTTTTTACATTATTTTATTACAATTTCGGAGTTTCGGCATGTATTTATAAAATCCTACAATAAAAAACCGCATTTCGGCTGAGTTATCCATTGGTGAACAAATAAAATTCACACGCAATATTTTTTGCTATGTGGTTACCACGAAAATAAACACAAAATCGAATTACGTTGTACAACATGCCCATTTTTTTTAAAAGAATTTTGATATACAAATCTAACTTAAACTATATACCGCTAGCTTAGAGTGCAAAGTTGCTAAGTCCATTTTTTTTTTTAATTTTACAGGAGGAAAACAGTTCCTATTCGATCTTTATTAAAAGATTTGGTATTGTTTTGGTTTTATTGGATTTTCGGTGCCTCTTTCGGACTTAGCAAATTTGCATTTCATTGAATATAAACGAGAAAAAACAAGTTCCTTGATCCTTTTCGATGCATTTTTAATGTTCTTGCTTCCTATATCAAGATATGCGTTTTCATAAAAAATGGTCTTAGCAACTTTTCACTCTAAGCTAACGATATATATATTTAAAATCCATTGATACGTTTTTTTTTTATCATTCCAGTCAACCACAGAGGAGGCCCACCGTTAAATTTGCTTCATTTCTATTTTTTGTTTTTACTTGAATTGGCAAGCCACTTAGCCAACGTCGTTTAATACACGGGCTTGTTCCATAAGAACAAGAAGTCTAACTACACATGAAATCAATCACAACAATCACCGTGTGAGGCACTCGCTAAATCATTATAATTTATATATATTTTATAAAAGGAAACCATTCACACTTGAGGGAGAACAATACCAAATAACGTGGTATCACCAGTCTACTCCTTGTTCCCGTCTTTTTAATATCTTACGAAATGTGCCCTAAAAGGATACAAACATGGGCTTTCGTTAGAAAACACAAGTAAGAAACTACTACGAAATACAACCGTAAACAATATAATACTTTTTTGAATATATTGGCGTTTGAAGACCTATTTATTCGGCCACTATCAACTATACAACAAAAAATAAGAAAAAAATAAAATTAATAACAATCACTAGTCTATGTGCCGTCAAGGATATGGAGATCAAAATTGAAGAAACAACAAAAAAATCGACAGTAGTTTTTTCAGAAAATGATGAGAAACCACAACAGCCGTCTGCTAAATTAACATCCTCTGTTAATGCCGCTTCAAGTAAATGTATAGATGATATACCCATTATATCAATATCGGATGGAGAAGATGCAGTGGGTCAGCACAAACCAACAACTGTACAAATGATTAGCTGTAAGCGTAATAGTGTAGATGCAGCCGAAGCTGAGAATGATCAACACCTTATCTTGAAACGGCCCAAAATTAAAGAAGTCGGTGCGCCAAAGACACATTTTTCGAGTATAAAATTAAGACCATTGACACTTACATACATATAAGCATGCTTATTTACCAGTATTTTTCATTCGCTAGGTTACATGAATGATAGACAAGAGTTGCTACATCAAGAACTGCCCACGAAAATAGCGATTGAGCATACAAAAAATATCGGTGGGGAATGGCAAAAGATGATAGAAAACAAAAAAGCAACCGATCGGGATAAGCAACGGTGAGTAGCTAAATAACCAAAGGAGACATACTGAGTGTGGATATGTAAGAGACGTGTGTCAAGTTAGCACTACACTTTTCGAAATTGGAAAAGTTAACTACGGCATTAATTGTAGTGTTTTTGTTGTAAATTTGTTGTGGAAAGAAAAAATTTGTAGCTCTCGTTTTTTAAGAAAAAATGGTATGTAGTGCTAACTTGACACCATACACCTAGTCGATAGAATTGAGATATTGAAAATGTTATAACGGCATTAATTGTAGCTTTTA